TGTCTCATATAACGTTACTGTTGTGCCATGATTCTGATAAAGTTAATGGATTTACATTAATGGATTTCTAACGTTCGCGTCAGTGTTCTGATTCTGTAATATATTATCCGAATTGCTTCTTCTTTTCTTAGCACTTGTACAATTTTCTGTGTTCAGTTTCCCTTTCATTTTGTTTTTGTCATGGTTTGTGGTATGGCTATGGATGAAAACAGAGTATGACAGTAAAAGGATTCTAGTTTTTAACGGTTTTTCCTCTTAGTCGTAAAACGTTACCCATTCTCCATTTACTTCCAACTTCTGAAAACTTGTCTTCACTGTGTTTCCTTTACGGCGCTCTTCCCTGGCTCTTTCCCTTATTGCGAGCCTTTCTTTCCTTCTCATGTCATCTTCTAAAACAATCGTAGCCTTTCAATTTTTGTTTATTCTTCATTATTGATAATTTATTTTCTCTTGACCCCACACTGAAGAGCGCGATACCTCTCTCTTTCCAGTCTTTGTCTATGAATGTTAGATTGTCATGTTCTACATCGATGCCCATTTTCTTAATTATCGTTGATACCGCGTTTATAAGGTCTGTTTTATTCTCTTCGATGTCTCTGCATTTTATAATTACTACGAATGCAGAGAGAAAATAATATCCATAAAATTCTGTACATATTTTACTGATGGGAAACTGCACATATTCTGTAAAAAATGTTTTCTTCAATTAAGAGAAAGGTGCATCCGTATGAATGTATTTGAAAAAGTTAATAAAGTCCTAAAGGTGAGATATTATTGGTGGTAGGTGAGTCTCGGATGATTCCAAAGTTCGGGATCTAACTTTGGTAGTTGATTCATGGAAGGAAAATGTACTAGAAATGTCTCGAAAATGTCATAGTTTCAGTGCATTTCATTTGTCTAACGTGGAACCACCATTTCCCACGCGATGAACAACTAACTTGGTGGCGATTCCTTGCGTCGGCCGATATGGTCAACTGGGACCGAACTGGCCCTTGTGCCACGTACGCGAGACAGGCTGGATTATTAAGACATGTCTAGTCAAAGTATCCTGTAACTTAAAGATAGGCAAATATTACAATAATTTAATACTATTTTTTTTTAATTTTCATAAATGATGTTCAAATTTAGTTTGATACTTCGTCATCTTTACTAAGTTCATTTAATTATTTATTTATTTACGTCAAAAACAGTTAAAAACTGTGTGTGGCGTGCTATGGGGAGAAGTTAATTTGAAGTTACAATAATGTTTAGAAGCAAAACAAGGGGTCATCTCAGCATTTGCTCAAGGATCTGAGAAATTATACGAAAATCTGATCGAGATGGGGGTCATTGACCGAGAAGCTGAAGTACAATACTTCCTACAGGTTCTTTAGAATTATACAACCCAAATGGTAAATAATACACTTAATGTCGTTGTTAGAATTAATATTACTTTCCTTTTGGATCCTCGGTATAGTCTTTAATTGTATAGAAACAGTTGTACATCAGAAAAGATTTTACTTGGGACTTTAACTCTTGTATCAAATTAAATCGCCTAATCGTCATTCTGAAATGAAGGAGCTAATGATGGAGCAAGAGCGGTTAATGCATAATCTGCCTATCCTCCCTCTAGATAGGTGTCGCAAGTAACTTATTAAAAATAGATACTTTTGTTCTATCTCAGAAATACGTAAAAATAAATTTTTAATCTTATGTACAAACGGCATAAAAAGTGTAATAAAGTTAAATAATTGAGATTTCCTACCTTGTTTATGGCATTTAAAAACATTTGCCCTCAAAAAATAAAAAATAAAATTATTCAAAATCACTTTCTGTTATTATGTACTATTGTATTTATCACTTTAATAATTGCAAATTTATCATTTTAATTTTCTTATTAATTTTTATTGCTTATGTTCAATATTTTAATATTATTATGAAGTCCCTTAGTTTGGCCATCATCGATCCCCTTAAAGCACTAATCCGACCCTGGGATGGGACGAAATTTAACATTCAACTCAGAGGGATAGATTTGTAAGTATTGCGAGCTGTTACCAAGAGAATAGCAATAAAACTCAATTTCGCAATTTGTTTTCGAATACTTCCACAAATGTATGAGCCTGTCACAAATCACTTCCCAAAGTTTGTGAACATGAATTTTGGAATCATTTTTAGAACTCACAATAACGCAAATGGTAAATTACATTTCTAGTTAATTGTCTCGTTTTTACGCTGATTTTAGTTCCTATACACAATCCTATCATTTTGTTTTCACCAAACATTCCACTTTCAGTTCGTGTATTGATTTAATCAATGAAACAATATAGAATAAAGAACGACTAAAATCATTCCTGCAAGAATTTAATGAATTTCACTTCACTATCAAAAAATTCTTGAAAATACATTTCTTTAAACTTTGTAAAACGCATTTTTACCTTTCGAAACACTCAACGCTTTATAGAATACTACCTCCAATCCTCTTGCGTGAGAAAAACTCTCTTAGCAAATGAAATTGTCTAATGGATCCCAATGTAACTCTTCTCTCTTGACAATAAAAACGAGTGGACTGTTGGCTCTCTCGACATTGAATGCTAGGTACAAAGGAAGCAGCTGTCACGTGTCAGAAGCTATAGTTGACCGGAAGATTATTTGATTTGGTCTACCCGAACAGGAATGGGATAGCGGCTCCCTTAATTCAATGAATTAGCTTTTAGTTTAGTCATGATACATCTATTGCGATCATTTGAAATTTACTTACACTCTTCTTATATTAAGATTACAAATATATTACTTGTAGTAAAGCTTTTTATTTAAAATTGAAAACTAAATGATGACAATAATTCACACCTTTTTCCAATATTTCAATATAATAATAATCTTATAAATTATAATTAATAATAAAATAATATATAATTATTAATAATTATATATATATACATAACGTTAAAATGTTTTTCTATGTAGTAAATAAGACGTTTATTTCCTCGTATTCGTTGACAACGAAAATTGAATGAATGTGAATCGAGCGAAAAATTGATATCTTTCAATAAATTCCACAACTTCCAAAATGTAATAATGAACAACAGTGTTACCTTTTTCTCTGATTTTCGGAAAATATGGGTGCGGCAATTATTTTCCGAGTTCCAATTTCAGTGTCGCGTGCTTAAAAGAAATTATGACATAAGTATACCGTTTAATGCCAGGAAACGAAGGGATTCCGCTGAACGTTAGGGTGTTCTAGTAAGATGGGCGTTCTAATGTTAATTCGGATAGAGTTTCATATTATTTTCTGCGACTTTTGATTTTTCATATATTCGCCCATAAGAATGTACGTTACGTGCTTTTATGCGTACATATCCGGTTTTTTGTAAATATGGACTGGAGCAATTTTTTATCTTGAACCTAAAACTAGCCTTTAATTTTGGGTAGGGTTTCATATTTGCCTGAGACTTTTAAATTTTCGTATATATTTGCCCATATGAACGTAAGTCACCTGTTTCTTTTTACGGCCCTGACTTTTTTTTAAAAAAAGTGGGCTTGAACAATTTTTTTCCATAGAACTTTCAATTGGCCTTTAATTTTGTATGTATTTTCTTTGACTTGCAATTATGAAATGTCTTATCGCCGAGCGCTCAATGGCGTCCAGGGGGTATACCAATTTTCTGTTTTCGCCCGACTCTAGCGGTAACTTAATTTTAAGAATTTCACGCATTATTGAAAGAGCACAAGTTGAGTCAATTATTGACGGCATTGAATACATTATTTATAATGTTTGGAGAATTTATTTTCATTTTATGTTAGGTTTTGGATTAAAAATATACATATAATGAGACCTTTGTGTAAAGCATCTCCAACCGTTGGGGCATTATCGAATCCCATCACCATGGTGAGAGTCTGCAATGGTATGCGAATACGAGAGTGTGTGGAATATCTTTCATTATTGCAATATATACTGGGGTAGTGAAATTTTCGAAATAAAGTAATTTAATTTGTGTAAAACGTGTCCAAACAATTGTGCTTATTGCAAAGTGCTCGAGTGCGATCACCGTATTTTCGAAACAAAGATCTTTCTTGTTTTGTATGCATTATATTACTGTAAATTGTCTCAATGTCGATGCATAACTTATACAAAAACTCGAGTGTCCACCACACCAAATACTATAGACTCTCTCTATAGTGTTTGACCACACAACATCAACAGAAAAAGGTGCCCACTGGAAAACAAAGCCAGTACCATGAGCGCAGGAGGTGAATATGCCTGACACGGACAATACACATAAAATTATGTAAGTCAAGTTTGAAGATAGACTTTTATTAAACGTAGTTTCACTGTTCTACATGAATTGCTTAAGTGTTATTGTGTATTTAGTGTTATGAATTTTGGAAATTACATTTCCGTCATTTGACGGAGTTGCAACCAGTTCCAGTTTATTGGAGCCAGGTGTGGCACAAGCCGCCAATGGATTCAGGCTACGGGTTCATCTATTGATCGAAAATATAATTATTGATATTGAATATTTGTTTGCGTTTTCAGTACATTTAAAAAAGTTAAAAGATCGTCACCTGCTAACAGATATTTATTTCTTACAGTACTTATAGCTACGGGTTCATCTACTGATCGAAAAAATAATTGGTGATATTGAATATTTGTTTGAATTTTCAGTACAATTAAAAAAATTAAAAGACCGTCACCTGCTAACTGATATTTATTTCTTATAGTACCAATTTAGTGTGCTTGGCCTACGGACGAATTAAATCCTGGCGGGGAGAGAGAACATATGATTGACGATTTGGAATACGAATGACCACCCTCAGTTTTTACTATCTTTCACCTGAACTTTGCATTAATGTGAGTGCTCTTTTTGTTTAATCATCCACATACAAAAAACTTTAACAAGTGTTTCTAAAATAAGTTATTCATGTCCATGTTGGTTTAATGTTTTCCTAAATTACTTTAAATTGCACCTATCAAATACAATATATTTTTGTAAGTTGCTTCCTTGGATGTCGCGAAATGTTCGTCAAATGTTTTTCATTCTCACGTTTTGTGATTTCCCACCACTTTCGATGCTTTCAGTAAGATTTTTTGTTTGACGTGAAGATGAGATATCGTATTACTGTTGTATACAAGAAAGTGTCATATAATTTATTTTTTCTGTGGTGAATGAAAAGATATGGGCTTGTCACTTCTTTCTAGATGCGAGGATTTCTAGATATATAAAAATGTGGATCTTGAAAGGACCTAATGGTATAAATTTTGATCCATTTTATTATTAAATTTGTTTGTATTTGAATTTGATTCAGACATTGAAAAGTACCCGAATTTTCAGATAAATGTTATTACTTACTTCCTGGAAAACACGTCGTCGGTCGGAAAAATTGCGATTTGGTATTTGGCAGTGACCAATCCATTAGCAGAACTCATGCTATAATTGAAGTGACACATCCCCAGAGCAATTGGGTGAGTAAATGTTTATAAGCAAGAAATTATTTTCTGCGTTTTATTCAGTGTGTAATCTAAACGTATATTGATAGTCTATAATAATTTCAATATTTTTATTAAATACAGTTTCTTCCAAAGCATTATCAATTAATTATTCATGTATTATTGGATTTGATTTCAAGAATGGCATTACATTGGAATTTTTTTATGTAAGAGAATTTATAATACAACTTACTATCATGAAAATTTTAATGAATGCACATCTCTAGGGAAATCCAGAAAAGAAACCAGTTGTAGAGTTAAAAGATGCTGGTTCCAAGTATGGAACAACTCTTACCACAGGAAGTAATACAACCAAGGTAGAAGAGAATGTTACTAAAAATCTGAAAGAGAATGACATGATTCACTTTGGTGTGCAGTTCAATAAGTGGTGGTGAGTATTATCATGAATCGTATTTTTATATTCATTTAATGTTCTTGTATTTATTTACCTCATAATTTATAAATCAGTGAATTTTGTCAAAGTTGTTTAAAAACAGGGGAAGACATATTTTTTATGCAATGCAGATTTCTATTAATATACCAAGCCATAGTAATTGTATTCATTAGGTGTCGATATTAACTGCTATTTCGAAGAAATCCACATAGAACACATGCTCGATATGGTACAACACATTGACAGACAGTATTAAATAAATAAAATCAATTCACAAGATTAAATCCTAAGTAAAACCTTTCCTACTGCCTGTTTGTGTATAATTAGAGACTACTAAAACTCGAAAACAAAAAGTAATATTTATATTAACAGCGATAGTAATAATTGGATGTTAGTTGAGTCACTTCAGATTATAGCATGTTAGCTGTGTGCAGTATAACATTTTTCTATCTAGTGTTTTTTTCTGCACATTGTAATGTACATTTAACTGAAAAATACCTACGTTTATGAAGCAAAGCGAAAAAGTTACAGGTTTCCCTCGACTACTGCATAATTACACTGCTTTATGTCACTCAAGAAACAGTTTTATTTTTTTAATCATTGCTGATTTGTTTGTAGGCTTAATTATAAACCTTTGATAGTTGTGATATCTTCACTGCCGAAAGCAGAAAAGCAGAAGGTGCAAACAATCATTGGTGAACTGGGTGGTTTTGTAGTCAATGAATGGCATCCACAAACATCACATCTCACTATGGCAAATTTTACTATGACTGTTAAGGTATGACATCTCCTGAAATGTTTTGTAAAACTTGTTTCAAAAAATTGAAATATATTATGCTAGTAATATAAATTCAATAGATTCTATTATTGCTTCCATTGGTTATGCAAAATTCTGGAAATAATTCAGTTATGCACTTAAGCATATGTTTAAATGTGAAAATTAAGTATTAAGAAAAAAAAACACTAAATAGTTGAGATAATTTTCAAATTTTGTTTGTTTAGGCTATTAATGCTTTGGCGCTTGCAAAGCATATTGTTACCCCTCAGTATTGGATATCTCTGAAAACAGCCATAGCATCAAAGGGAAATATTCCAAAGTGTGAAGATTATGTTCCACCTATAGGAGAAACTGTTCTGAACGAACATAATGTTTCTTTCCTGGCTAATCCAAAGCGGAAATCTTTATTTTCTGGCAAAACGTTTTACTTCTTTTCTGAGCCACAATTTAAAGATCATGGATGCATGGTTCAAGCTGCTGGTAAGTGTTGTACTATCTTTAATTCATTGAGGTATAAACATTCTTCTTTCAAAGCTTGTTTTTTGGAAAAACATTTTAAGAAAAATGTTGTATTGTTATGCACTGGCAGTTTTGGTGTCTCAGTAACTAAAGGCACTTGTGTGTGTGTGCAGGGTGACGGGATGTTTAATTATTTTATTTGCAGTGTGCTCTATTACAGCAGTAATAGATTCATTGTGATCAAAATTTTAGTTTTCTGCTCAATGCTTTCAGTGCATGTATTGCAATTTCATTTTTCACATTTACAATAGCCTGTGAGTTGGCTATTTGCAATTGCAATTTAACTAGTTCAAGAATTATCTTTTTCGTAATTTATAGTTGGTTAACTTAATGACATTTTATAAGTGTTATTTTTTCTAATGTTGATTTATTAGAATTACTTGTCCTAATTAATATAAATAATTATATTCTTCTTCTTCTTATTATTATTATTATTATTAGTTACATTTCATTTATTGTAATATCTATAACATATCTAATATTTCTGTAAATCCATATTTCATATTTAATTTATTGGTGATGTTTTGTAATCTATTGCTTTTAGAAATTCAAAAAAATTGTGGGTGTTGGTTAAAGATTTTTGTTTACTTTCTCAGACGCAGTACACAGAAAAATACAGAGAAAGTAATGTAATGCAGCAGCAAGTTTATTCTGACATTTCAACAGAAATATTTGTTTTAGGGCCTCTTATTACAGAAAAAATAGATTTTTATAAAAAGGACTCTGTTTGTGTACTAATCTTAGAAAAAGCTATATGTTGGCTTTTTCCAAAATGAATATTCTGAGATCAATGTGGCCGAACTATAAGACCTGCAATTTTGAAAAGTTTTTTCTGTGTGCTCCGTCTTTACTTTTTCTCCCGTGTACAACGTAATGTGGCTGGCTTATAGAATTAAGTTTCAAATAATATGTTGGAAATAGTTATTTTAATCATCTTGAAGAGAACAATTTTAATCAAGTTGTGTGTTTTTTATTTGTTCACTCTACAGGAGGTGCAGCCAAGCTGGTAAGAGCTGTAAGGCATTCTCAGATGAAAAATTTTATGGAGCCAGATGCTGTTGCAATGTTGTTGCTTTCCATAAATTCTCAGAGTTTAACTCTCTCTCAGACTCCAGAAGTTTACACTGAAGTGTGTGGTGAGTGTTACTTTACAGTGATAATTTTTGAATTTATGTTTTCACAAAATTAATTATTTTAAAAAGTCATTTTCAAAAGATTATAGAAACAAACATTGAGTTTTGAAGATTTAAAGTGTTTGATTTAAATTATTGATTATTCTTAGAGCTCAAATGTTTGTGTAAAAACCCAACTTTGGTAGGCTTTTTGGTTTCAAAACGAAGTGTTCCTCGTGGAGAATTGTGCTCCTTCCCTGCAGAAGGATGAAATTGCTTTGCCATGCCTCCTGAGTTAAGCGACAGCTGGCTTCAATACTTACTAGCAGGCTATGGTTAATCATTATTCTCAGTTATATTTTTCTTGCACAAATCTCACACTAATTTGTTCTACATTCAGAATGTATGGTGTCTTTCTTTAGTACTATTTTTAAAAACTCTTACTCCATGACTCCAGATATGTGAAACACAAATTTCACACAATATCACTTAACAATAGGATATTTACAATCAAAACATAAAGCTTACTAAGTCCTGATGTAGTCCAAAGATTTTTAAAACTAATTTAAAAACAATAATTATATGAAATTACAAGTTAGTAAAATATAAAGATTAGTGAAAATGAAGTACAATAAACCCCCTCTTTTACACTTTTCAGGGGAACAATGAAAAAAAGTGTAAAGTGCAAGAAAGTATAATGCAGGAAAGTGTAAAATACAGGAAAGTTGAAAAATGATAGGGTAGGCGAGTACTTTCATTATTTACTGCTATGGTTACTCCGTTTTCACTTTCTCGCCCTTCGTAAGAAGAGAAAGTAAAAGCATGCGCCGGAATCTGCAATTTTCGTTAGAAAATCTCCTATTGACGTGCCTGGTAATGAAAAAGTGGATAAATCATATTCCTATATATAGTAAATTACTTCCTCTAACACGTGGTGTAGCCTGAATCCCTGTTTAATGGGTTCTTGAAACTGCAAAATTGATCGACTGCTGTTTTTTCGGCTGAAAACGTCTGTTTGCCCGTCTGTGGTCAACGCGAGGGCCTAAACCACCTGCAGATTTTCTCCAAAATTAATATTCCTCGATTAACCTGAACGAATGCGAAACTTTTGCATAGTTATTTACTGCATATTGGAACAGAATTTATCCACTTTTTCTGTATCAGTACGAGTTTTTCTGTCGAAAAACCACTGTTTTTTGCCACTGTATTACATAACTTTTTCAGCACTAGGTATAAAACGTACATATATGAGAAAGGAAACAAAAATGAAATAAAATAAATTTTAAAAAAAGAGAGGAAGCACTCTTCATATCAAGTTGTAAATTGCAGGAAGAGAATGCATTGTAAATATAGGCTTTTCAACGGGACCAACGATAAATAACATAAACAGCAGGAAAACTTAAAATGCGGGAACATAAAAACGGGGTTTTACTCTATGTATGAGGAGTTCAAGTCATCAAATGTATATTTTAATAATGACTGTACAAGGGAATATATCCTGAAAATGGAGCCTTAAAAAGAGATCACTTTCAGAATAATGTGATGAAACGATTCCAATTAACCAAGACGTGATGTTATGGATTGAAATTTAATTTCAATAAAAAATCTTAGTTCCCAAGTTGTTAGAAGAGAGGGAAATTCTAATCCAACTCATGGCAGGAGAGTGAAATTCATTTCACAGACATTACTGAGAACAGCAGCTTCAATTTTTTTTCTCCAATAGAGTAAAAGAAGCTTATAAAAACAGTGCATGTCAAATTTGTATTTTCGAAAATTGCAAAAATTTGGCATTGCCAAACGACATTGGACATTGACCCTAGAGATTTTGTTTTTAATCCTCTTCTAAAAATCAGATAATAAAAACTGTTGTTTTTTTAACAAGTGCAGTGTTCATGGAATTTTTGCTTCATGAAAGGCTTTTTCTCTCTCTCTCTCTCTCAAAAAGGCTCAACTTTTTTTCTTTAAATTCTTTTCTTGGATAAAGCAAAGGGCGCTTATGAAAATTGTGCAGATCTATTTTTTATTGAATTTTGTGGATTTTTAAAACATGTATAACTTACCAATAACGTAAGTGTGTTCTGTTGTAGCACCATTAGTTATTTTACATTTATTTGGCATATTTTTATGTTTTCCGCAGATTTTTTGAAGTCGCATGGTAAGCGGTTGATTCCAGCCTCAGAGATTGGTCTTGCTGTCTTACACTGCTCAGTGGAGAAATATTGCAATCCAGATTTCAGTTTCTCAAGCATGTTACTTCGTAATTCTAAGGATTCCCAACCTATTGTGCCAGAGAAAATTCTAGCAACTGAAACGCAGGAAAACTCAGGTATTTTAATAGTTGTGTTTTTTCTTTCTCCTTTTTCTTCTCCTCAACAATCTTTCTTCCTCTTTCCTTCTTTTCTTTCTGGTGACTTCTTTCTCTTTTCTTCCTTTGTTCTTTCTCCTCCTTATTTTTCCAAGTTCTTTCCATTGATGGACTCTGGTTTCCTAGGGCATTGCTGATTTTTGATTTTTCAGTTTATCACTGATAGGTTGAATACTTAAAATGTGAATACTGTTACATTTGTCCCCTTCCTGTAATAATCTTTCAAATCTTTATTTGCTATGTAGTTTCCACCTCCTCCTCTGTTAGAAATCTTTTCTTTTACTGTTGTATAAGATAATCTGTTATGTTTCTTCTCGTTTGTTATTCTTGAAAATAAATACAGTAAAACCCCTCTTTTAAACTTTTCATAGGACCCTAGGGAAAATTGTGTAAATAAGGAAAAATGATATTTTCTTTGAACTATGAGAACAGTATATAATGAACATGCTTTCATATGCAGTATTGATACTTAATAAACAATATTACTAGGTCAAATAGAAATGTGATCGAAATTTACGACATTAGAAACGAAGGTATGTTAATCAAAGCATAGTGAATTTTAAATGTCGGAACGACATTTCCATAAGTCCTTGCCATCCATTGATGGTAGCTTTTGATGATACAACAATGTACTCATTGTTGGATGAAAGGAGGGAAGTTGTATTTTTACTGTAGGAAAAAAAATAGCAAAGGTAGCATTTTTCCCAATTTGATAAAATGTTTGTTTTTGATAGTTTGTATTGATTTCGCACTAGTAATTTTTTAAACTTATTAATTTATGAAGTAATAGAAAGAGGGTTCATGAAACAAATTTATAGTTAAAACTTACAGAGAATTCCATATTTGGTGTTTGAGCTTTTAAAGCATGGGAACAAATTACATTTATTTAAAATGAGAAAGAGTGAAATTATGAAGGAGGATGATGTAAAATTATCAAATGATCATGAGGTTACGTCTCTTAGACCTGTGTCACATGAGCATTGCGTTGACATGCGTTACCTAACGCTGAAGATGTCAGCTGCGCAGGTTAACACTATCTTATTTGAAACAGTGGTAAATTGCGGGAATGTAAAAGTGGGGGTTTTACTGTATAAGCAAGTCAGCTGTTCTTAGTACATTCTAACATCGAATGTTCTCTTCATTTGCAGAACCTTCTCAATGTCTTATTGGTGAGCGTAAAATTATTCCTGACAGTGGCTGCGAATCAAAGTTGGGATTGAGTTTGACTGAAGATAGAATTTCAGGAGCTCCAGATTCTCAAGATACGGAGAACATTTTTGAAGGACAAGAAACCCAATCTGCCGAATTAAAATCAAAAAGCTCACAAATACGTTCTCAAGTTCAGTCTCAACAACAAGGTGCAATTAATAGGAACATTATCGCGCGGAACTCAAAAAGGTGATTTTTTTGGCTGTTTTCAATTATGATTCATGATCCTTAACAGGGAAGGATCACTAATTTGCCACATATCCAAGCAAGCAGTTATGACTTACACTCCATTCTATGTTTGTTAAACATTTAATTCTTTCATATTTCCACAGCAAATGTTTTCATAATTTTAATCTTAAGTACTAATTCACCTGTTTTCTAAAAAAAAAAGTTATATTTTCTCATCAGTTAGATCTCTTTTTTGTTTTTTTCCTCACTCTTATCTCTATTGTTTTTTTCCATACACCTAAAATTACATGCTAACAGTATCAGCAGAGTAAAAGTGACTCTGACTGTTCGGCATGGCCTGTTTAATATAGAACAGTTTGTTGGAAAATGATCAAATAAACATCACATCATGGTGTCATTTCCAACAAGTATTTTGTTGTTGCTTTTTATTTAGTGTTCTGTCGAATAATTCCTTCTTCAAAAGTATATGTGCCACACAATACCAATTTTAACAAGTATTTGAACTGGGTTTTTTTGTTATGAAAACGAAGAAGTATGTGCAAACAAACCTATTTCTCCCCACTCCATGATGCTCTTGTAATCGTTTGAAATTGTTTTATCTAGGAAAAATTTAAAGAATGTACATACTGGAAAATTGTGGCTAATTTGTTTCAGAAAAAAAGGGCAACTGTGTTTTGTGTTTTATTCTTCACCACTGATTTTTTTTATTATTGTAGTTGTAAATTAGTATTGTAAACAATGTATTAATTTATCAACTTATGCACTGAGAGGAATCAAGTTAATATAATTTGAAATCTGAGGAAACACATGAGAGTAAGTTAGGAGTGTTGTGCAAATGCATCTGTTGATTATGAATATTTCAACAGAAGTTGAATAAACTTTTTACTAACTAACTTACCAATAGTTATATAAGCATTGTTTAGTTTAAAAAAATGGAAGAAAATGCTTCACCCAAACATAAAAGTAATAACACTGTTGTAGGTTGAGAGTCATCGATGAAAGTGATGATGAAGTGGAAGTTCTGACTCCTCGAAAGATTCCAGCTGGTCCAGCTAATGCCAAGCAGAGAAATCCTGTTGTGGTAACAGTGGATGAGAGTAGCAGTGATGTGGAAGATTCCTTTAATATTTCATCTACATCTTGCAGCTCAAGAGTATCTAGGTAGGCAATGATTAAACACCATGCATTTGAAACAAATGGACCTCAGATCTCAATTAAACTGTGAAATTTACCCCAAAATGTAAATTTTAGACGAAATTTGAGGCGGTTCAAAATAACCAGTCTGAGAATATAGTTTCAAGGATAAAAATTGTATAATTATATTAGCCAATTTAATGTCAAAAAATATTGAAAAACGATGAATTTATCTTTGGTGCCTGTCAAATGACCACTATGGGTCCAGTAGATCTATTTATAAACAGATGATCATGCTTATGTCAGCAAAAGAGAAACTATTTTATAACCTATATGGAAATATTTTATAGGGTAGTTTAAGACAGTGTGTGTTATACATTGTTTTGTTTTTTTACTGTTTTAACACTTTATTTTATGCAAAAATTTTAAAACAATTAAAATAGTAAACATTCACAAATACATTCACATACAAAATGAATATAACAGCAATAAAAGAGGTGAAAAATTACTGAGAATCTGGTGTTGTATGAAGTTGAATACACAACCACTGGTGTTACCAATCAGGCCATGACCGGAGGGGGGTTAAAGATACCACAAATGAATGAACTAATCGATGTTCTACTAAGTAGTCTTATGGATTTGTTCACTGGCAGAAGGTGTCTAGGGTGAATTGACAGATATGTAAAAAAAAATGTTAAAAGTAGTTGAAACATAACATTGACAGTTGTGAAGTTACTATTGTTTGGATAGTTCATTTTGATTTCACGCATTGCATGAGGTTGTGGTGAATCACAATTCTAATTTTGTGTTTTGAATATTCCATGTAATGATGGATGTTCAATATTTGTGTTAGGCTTATTCATGTAATGTGGATCAACATGACAATTATTTTTGTAAACAGGTCTGGTGTATCTACTGACTTGCACCACAGAAAGACAATATGTCTGGCACAATAGGAGATCTTTTTTATTTTTGATGTGACATCAGATAAGCTAATGTGTGTTTCAAGATTTTTAAAATTGATAAATGGTTTGGCAGTGTGGATAATTCATTTTCTACAAAAAAAAAATTAATTCAGAATCTAAAATCATTTGCATACAAATCTGTGGTTTTCTAATAAAATTATCTATGCGAATAATGAGTACCAAAATTAAGTATCGAGAAGGTTTCATTCATTCATTCATTTATTTCATATTTTAGTTTTTATGTAATTTGAGTTTGTTTGTTTGTTTTCTTTTGTTTTTATTGGTCTAGTCATTTTTGATAATTACATATCAGATGCACCTCAGTGATTGCCTCGTTATTTTTGATTAATTAAATTAACTATTATGCTTTGTTGAATATTAGTGATTGTGCACCTCTTTAAGAGTCTGAACAAATTATACTGTTGACATTTTGCAGGTGGAATACTTCAAAGACATTAAATCACAATGAAGACAGTGATGATCCTGACGCATTGTTTGCTGACTTCAAGGAATCTCGACCAAAAGCAAGAAAATACACTAATTTAAAACGTCCAGAATCTCCAGATGTGGATGCTGATGAACTCTTTGCGGATTTCCAAGAGGATGTCAAGCCTTCAGGTCTTCATAAGTTTGGAGGATCTAATAAGTCAGTTCGACCTTCTGTTACATCTATAGAGCCTAAATCCCCTGCTTGCAAAAGGGATTTTCCATCAGATGATGAAACTGAGCCACCTGAAAAACGCTTTGCAAAATTGGATGTGTCCAGGCATCATGAAACGGTTCCACATCTAGAAGAAGAAACAAATAATGAAGAGGATTTCATGTCTACATCACAAGTAAAAGTATGTAAAGTAATGTATTACTTCTCATGGTAGAAATATCATGCATTAATTGGCGTTACAGTAATTGTTCATGAGGGTTTAAATGATCATGTGAGCATGAGAACGTTATAAACATGTTTATAAATCTGTAATGAAGACTAGTTCCTAAAAGGTATCTTTGGTTAATTTTTTTGAAATTATTAATTATTTTAGTTTGTATTGTAGAGAGCATTTTACATTGTGTTCAAATTATCCACAATTCTTTCCTATTCTCTCTCCCTCTCTACCTTTCACACTCTCACTTCTCTCTTCTCTCTCCCTCTCTACCTTCTGCTCTCTCCTGCCTCTCTCTCAGGTCTTCTGCACATAATGCAGATTTCTGACAGGTACTTATGTTCTATTTTTTTTCCCCGTTACAGAAAGAAGATGAGAGTTTGGATGTGAAACCTTCATGTAATGTGACAGTTGTTTTTAAACCTTTGTTAATTACTAACAGCAAAAACAGTAGTTTGGCTTCTGAAGAAGTATCTCTTGATTGTACTGGAGTTGTTAACTATAAGAAATTTAAAAAGGTATGTATAATTTTCTTTTTCAATTTGGAAGTTGGATATTTTATTGTGATCTGCATACTATTTATACCGCTTATAATATTTGAGGGAAGTGAAGCCATTAGCAATCTCTCTTAAACTTGCTGTAACTGGATATAAACCATTATTGGGATTGGGGTTAAGACCAATTAAAATTTTAATAATTCTGTGTTCAAGCGACTGAAAATGAGTGCTACAACCGTGGGTACTTTCTTGCATATAGTAACAGTGTAATAATTAGGGGCAGATTTTGATGAGCTAAAACTTTGCCAAAAATGATCAATAAAATGCTGTTACAATGCTTTAAAAATGCCCTAAAAACAAAGAAAAATGACACCGAAAATTTGATGAAAACCACTTCATATGAACAACTCCAGCTGTTGTATATGTTACTGATGTATTGGAGGCTTCTTCCTTTTGTTCGAGCAAACTTTGGATTTGGACTGTTCTTGAAAAGAAAATCTCTGCTTTTATTCATTGCGAAATCAGCCGAAATGAAAATGGCACTGATAAACTTTACGGGAACCTTAGATTACATAGTACTCACAAGGGCTGACATTACAATATATGAGCAAATAAATCAAATAGGCTACTCAGGAATTCTGTGGGAAACATTTTTTGCACCTCGTAAATATTGTTTGAAGCAAGTACCATTAAAATTATATCAAAATCAATGAAATCAGTGAAAAAATGCAGTTAAATTTACATAAAAAGATAAAGAATGACTTGTTAATCGAAATCAATGAAAAATGCAAAAAAAATTACTTTTAGAAATGGGTAATTTCATTTTGCCATGACATAAAATGAATTTCTATACTAAGCAGCATTGTTCTGAAGTGAAAAGAAGTCACTGCACAGTGTTGCAAAATGTTTTGCAATCTCGTATCTTGTGAAAAACATTAGCAATTTTGCAACAATTAGCAAGAAGTTCAAATTTGGAAGATTAACAAAAATTATGCTAACAACTAATGTCCAAAAAAATGTGTACACTAGCTACTTTAAATAACTTATTTTTTATTAGGTCAGGTTTCTTTTTAAGAAAAAATCTCTCTCATCATTATATTGTATTTTTCCCATATTAATGTTTTGTTTGGTATTTTCAAAACTAACAGAGAGTTTGCCAAAACTGGGACCAACACCAGTTTCTTTACCATTCTGTGCTACATACAAGGAAAAAACTGAATGAAAATGTTTTTGAGAAAATAATTCTTTAAAAATTGAACACCACCTTACTTGAAGATTTGTTGTTGATGAACAGATCACATTAAAGAAAAAGTGTGTATCTTCATTATTGTAGTTGTCAAATGACTCAGAAAAAAATTTTGAACTTTTGCAACTTTCAAAAATACAGGCATCACAATGCAATATTGCAGTGCAATACAGGTTATAAAATTCCACATCCCATGTATCAATTTTGGCTTCAGAAATTGGTTTGAAAATAAAATCAAATTATAATATATTCTAAATCAATACATACATCATTCAAACTGCAATTAGTTTTATTTTTTTTTATTATTTTCATTATTACTACAGATTTAAAGTTATGCCAAAATAGAACAGATGAATAAAAGAACACAATTTTTATTTTAGAATTCTTGAAAATAATTAATTACAGATTGAACAATTAATTTAGAATAATAGGGGATCTAGGTGGATAACGAAGTAAATAATAAAACAATGAATTTTAAATCTGTTTGAAATGGATAAGCGATCAGTTTTAATATTCTCTTCAAGTTAGTCACAACATTAACTATGTTAAAAATGAAATATAAAGTATATTTATCATGTAAACTATAAAATTGAAGCATAGCTAAAAATAATGAATAATAAAAATAAAATATTAAAACTTTAAATAGACTGTTTGGAATATTCATGTGCTTTAAAATATTTCTGATTGATTTTTTTATGTTATAAAAGTTAAGTGGAAAAAAATCAATAGTCAACCAACATTTATAATATCAACATTTATAATATTTACTGTCTAATTACAAAATAAAACACCAATCATAGTTATTGTGATGTAACTACAACTTTTTATTCACTTAATACGATTGTATTCATTTGTTTGGATTCACTGAAAACAATTTCATAAAAACATTCATTTCAAAATTTTCATGAGACCCATATGACTAAAATAGCAAAACGATGTAGGAAGAGTTACTGATATTGCTTTAAGGACAAATAATGTTAACCATGCTGTAAATACAATCCTAAATAAAAACATTTGTAAGGACTCTTGGGCCCCTGCTAAGGTTCATCCACACACTGCACAGTACAGAGAAAGCAGTGGCAGAACCCAATGATTTTTCGACTGAAAAAGTTTTTTTGTAGGGACCTGATATCGAAAAGTGAAAGGAGAGGTGGCTCATCAACAGATGTCAAAGCAGTGCCACTAAACGGGAGTACCTAGGTTTGTGTTCCGATGGTAGCAGTATTTTCGACACGCTTAGATAGCTATGTCGAATTCAGTCGCTGTCTGGAGAATTCTAGTGGCTAGCTGCTCTGGTCGGTAGTTTTATGGGGTTTCTCCAATCAATACCAGATTAATGTGGGAGCAGTACTTTAAAAAACAAGCCATGGACCATATGCAAAATTTTCTTATCCTTCCTTGCCCTATCCTCACTTCTTACACACACCACTTACATATTCTTCATTACCACACATGCTGAGAGACCAGTCAAGAACTTAAAGCTTGTCCCGGCAGGGACAGGGTGCCCTGCTGACGAGAGTTACCTTGTTGGGGAAAACCCAACTAGCCGACAGGTAAGCTGATGCCAGATCTCACCATCCAGTGGGGGAAAATAACTGCCACCTCCTGGTGGGATGTGCACAGCACTTACAGGACCAATGACCTTGGCTGTTGACAACCCAGCAATCGGTAATCAATCAATGAACCAAAAAAGCAGACAAATCTTGTTCCTAAATGTAGTAAATTACCTCCTCTTAAAGTTATTTAATCAGAATCCACGTTTTGTGGGTATATAACACCAAAAAATTTGTTTATGTAAAAACATATATCAATAAACAAGGCCAGCATAAACTATATGCTGGATTTTTACCGCAATTAATAATCCTTCACTGATCTGATTGATGTGTCCCGACCCCTTCAATTTGAAACGGATATTTTGATTTTGGGGGAAACTTTACATAAAACCTCAAAATTTTCTCAAAAATGCCTCTAAAAAAACGTTTTCTTTGTTTTAAGATGGAGAATGATGGGAATTACTGTTAAAACAAGTAGTTTTGAGAAATGTATTACAATATAATATTTAATAACAAGACTTTTTATATCTTCGTGTTTCTTCCAGTCAGCGCTGGTAGTAGACCAGTGAAAGGAAACTTATACAAACATACCATCTAGCAAAAGAAAGAAATATTGTTGAGAAGCAAGGGCGCATGACACTCCAGTAGCCACACCTGCTGCTGCTGCTTTGTGTTATAAACTACCTCTAACTCTTTCACAGCTAAAATACATGTTGAACAGTTTGGATAGACATAATTTCATGTACGTGTATACACTGATCTTAAGGGCATAAAGCATTTTCATTTAAACATGCGAATTTTCAAAAAATATAATATTAATTTTTTCAAACCTCTTGCGCCTTGTTTAGTTAGGAGCTTTTTTAATGATGGCTTAAGTGTTAGGAAAGAATTTCTAATATAATGTAATATTACGTAACTGTTACCAATTATACAAGAAAGTATGTACTGTTGTAGCAGCACTGTGTGGATGCATTAAAGCATATGAACTGAGGAAGGATCTGGTGGCGCAATGTTGCAGAAACCTATGGTGCATGATAGTTCTGCGTTGTTGTCGATGGAATGTTTCACTGATTCAAAGGTGTCTGTTGCTAAATTGGTATATTCAACTAAGCAAAAATTTCTTAATGTGTCAAGTGTCTTTAGTTAGTTGGAATTTTTGTTATAAATGGATAGTGGGTATTCTTCTGTGTATCGCTTGTAAATGTTTATCGTAATTATTGATACTCATCTTTTCTGCTCTAATGACAGGTGAATCCTCTGTCTACAAGTGTACTTCCACATATCATTGGTGGTCGAGACCTGCAGCCATACCAGTCTTTTTGTGGTAACAGTTCTGTGTTCAGTGGTATGAATGATCATGCTGAGGAAAGCGATGATGAAGAAGGACCAAATACATTATGGGGGTCTGTTACACAAAGGAATAACTCAAAGTTTAATCGGAGTCGGAAGCTTTGATGTGCTAGTGGTAAAAATTCATTCCTTTTCAGTTCTTTTACATGTTATTCCAACTTTTGAAAATTGTGTTTCAACTTTTATAAATTTATCACAAATAGAAAGGTATTTTTAATAATTTAGGATCTGGAAAATCAATCTACAACACTTTATCTGCTGTATTAGTAGGCGCATGTGTATAAATACACACCCAAATATAAACTTCTTTATTTCTTAATATTTCAATGTTATTATGTCGTTTTATATTAAAAAAAATTAGATACAAATATCAGATTTCTGTGATCGTTGATACAATAATAATTCAATAACTTCTTGGGAAAGGGCTTGTTACAAATCGAAAAATTTGTACCGAGTTGCACAAATAAATTCCCTTTCTTTGATTAGAATATCTTGATGTTATTATTTTTTAAGACCTAATTCCCGGGCTCCCAGGAATCTTCATAAGGGTGTGGTATCTATGCTTAGCCCATCACAAATCGTACACCTCTTCATTTATGGCAACAGTCTGGACCTCTCTAAAAGATTTGATTTGACTTATCATCAAAAACATTGTAGAAACTGTATGTGATATGGGTGAGAAGTATAAACTGCACACATTAGCATAGCAAGTATAATTGTGCATGAGCAATAATATACACAATACAAGGGAATGACATTTGCTTACATATTACCAATGTCTCCTTCGGTAATGTGGTCAAACAACCACTCTCCCACCCTCTTCCTTTCTTCTGTATCTTGTAAAACGTTTGGTAGTTACTTATTACAACCAAAACTTTTGTTTTTATAGGGATATAATTAATATCCTTCCGCTCACTTTCTTGCCCCCTCAGGCATTTCAGCGTGGGGAAGGTCACAGCATGACAACCGAAATGTTGGCAACTATGCCTAGATATGACATCTCACGGACATCCAAGTATCCATTCAAATGATTTAATGTGTAATGTTTGACTTTGACATAAAATAACTGTCATTTAACGGACAATATGGGGATATGCATGCACAAAGTGGATAGAAGTAAATTATTGCAATGAGGAGAACGGATATGAAATTAACTTTAAATTTACTATTTCATGTCCAATGTGCAGTGATTTCAGAAATTTCAAATTAAGCTTAATCAACAATTTCACAGATTGTTCGCAATTTACGGACAGTTGCTCAATGATACCATGAACCCTGAATTATGACTAGAGCCTGGACCGAAGCCCAAGGCGTGTGCCGCCTCTCCATGTGCGAAGCACAAATATGTACAAAATATAAAACCCGATATAAAAAATATTGACCCCGATGCTCTGGTATTAAAATATTAATACCAGGGCATCGGGGTCATCCAGAGCGAGAGATAGTCTGCTCGATGAAGATTGTGCCATTAGTGCTCTCTGTGGATCAAAATTGAAACTGATGCGCCAGTTCGATTTTGACACCTTCTCATCCATAAGAGTCACATGCAAACGAACACAGCGTTAAATGGGCAAAGATTGTGCGAATTCTTAAGTGGCTCAGCAGTTTAGAAAGGGGCCGACATATAGCACTACACCCTGGGCGTTAGAAGAGAATATTGACAGAGCATCGAAGAAATAAACGCTCGTTCAAATGAATTATTACAAAGAAACAAGTGGCAGCAAGTTGCACAACAGCCAGAATTTTTCTACCGATATCCCTCGATATGTCAATATTCAAACGAAATCACTTTAATAACGTGTGAATGGTCTGTCTTCGAATAAATTTCTTATCTATAAGCGTTAACAGACGAAGAGAGACCCCAGCGAGCGTCCGTGAGGTGACGTTATTGAGGGAATTGGATTTCAACTACAACTGGGTTTCCTGATGTAAGATACGAGACAAACTTATTTGTATTATCTCATACTCTTTCTAATGTGTTGCAAATGATTCCCAACGACGACACTTTGAGCAGCACCTCTGGATTTCAGCAACCGAGGTGTAGGGAATTAGGAAGATGGCACTGTTGCGTATGCTGGTATGCCTCGTGGACGAGTTGTGCGCGAGCTGTTTTTGAGAGTGCAGGGTATTACGGTGATTACAAGTTGTCAAACGTTATTTGTTAGGTAATTTATGGAGCTTATACAGAGTGATTCGGTCCGCCTTGCTATTACAGGACTCTGTGATAACTCAGTTATTCAGGAGCGTAAAAGGAAATAGTTAACTAACGTTTTGAAAGAAAGAAAAAATTTGTCACAGGTCATCTTTTAGAAGAAAGATAGCCCAAATATTATATTAATTATTTTCCCTCTTGCTGTTATTGCCTACGTATCCAATGAATATGAGAGGATAGTGAAAAAAAAACTGATTTAAGTGTTGTTAAGGATAGTTTGTCATTTATGTGTATGCAGTCAAGATTTCGCATTTTTCACCTCTTGTAACAGGGGCTCTAGAAGTGTTCCAAATGGCGTGAAGTCGCACGGTCTCCGTGACGCGCCCAAGTTAGACTTTGTTTACCTTTATTTCTGCCGCCACGCTTCGAATGCGCCGAAGAAAGTCATCACGATCCTCGGCTTCGGAAGCATAAACGCGGCCTTTCATTAACCCCCAGCTCCCAAAGTATTGGGAGTACCTGAGTTATAAAATTCAGAAACTGAACTCCTCTTTGAACGTTCGAGGAAGAAGCGAGGACCCAGGATAAATTCATCCACAGTGCCAACCGACACAGTTCTAGAGAATCGCATTTGATGAGCTACACTTCGTGCAACATTCGGATTTTCCTCGGTCCACGTGCAAATAGTGCACATTAATTGTGCCAGTTCTTGTAAAACACGCTTCATTTGACCAAAGAATGAAATTCCTGGTTTTCTTTGAATTTGCGTACGAAATGTCTAGAAAATTAAAAACGTTTCAAGTGTCTACTGCACCCGCTGGAAATGTAAGTTCGTAATCTCTCTGCATGAATTGTTCGCCAGGTGGCTGACTTTGATGCGACCTCACGCGTTGTTTGTCTTGCGCTCGATTCCGGGACTTATCTGTTGGTTGTAATAGCTGAGTTTTCCAGAGAAGTGGCAAGACGAGATGAAGCCGCTAGCTCACTTGCCAGAGCCCGTGTTACACGAACAAAAGCGCGTAGTCCAAATTATTAATTAATTGTTTACAAATCGAAACGAGGAAGAGTATCCAATTTTTGTAAATTCAGTCTGCACATCACATAAGGGATAAAGTCCTGGCGTATTAGCAACGAACACTTCACCTGTACAAGTGAGCTTTTGGCAAATTCTCTATGGGGTTTACAGGATAAAAGTTTTACTCAGCTTTCTAATGAAGAAAAACTGAGAATAAAATAACTTGTCACGCCATTAAGAAATTTAAATATAGCACAAAATGTAAAGATAGGAAAAATACAATTTCAGAGGGTTTTTAAAAAAAGATTATTTTAGAAATGCCTGACTCTGTGGATGTATACTCTGTATATACGTACGTATATGAGAAAGTAAAAACTAATAATGCTAGAACATTTATTTCATGTCTTTATTTTAAAGTCATGAACAGTATCAGTGTAGTTACATAAGCGATGCCTTTTCTAAAACGTTGATACCAATGTTTGTATCAGCGGGAATGTGTTTACTCCTTTAAACGATTTATGTAGTATATTTTATTAACTATATTTTCAAAACTACTTTCTCTTGTAAATTAAATATTAAACATTTCCAAAATTCCAGCAATTCACGTAACAGGCAGTTGAGGTTTTTGTGTCCAACTCAAAGCAAACATGGAAATAAAGAATAGATCTCAAAACTGTTTTAATTCTATGAATCAAAAATTATAATCTTGCAGGTTGTGCATACTGCTTCTTGTACAAGGAATATGATTTGTTATTCAGTTTCATATCCAGAAAGGTCATTGCTGGTAAATGTTGCCATGCAACCTGGGGAACTTTGGGTTGTGTGAACCAGGTGCACCTGAGTATCATTTTGTTGAATCTCGTCTTCTCTAAATATGGAGAACATCTTCGTGTGACCATCTGGCAATCCATGAAGAGGATCTGCCTGCAGTGTGGAAGCAAAATAACATTAAACTGCTGTTTTTAAACAATGTTCATGGTGTTCATACTGTCTTTACTTCTTTGAGATGAAATCAGTGGCAGTTCATGAAATATTGTTTAGGTGGTTACAATTATGACCCATGAAATCGGGTTTTTGATAGAGAGCCCCTATCCAGCTAATAAACCAAATCAACGTGTGAAACCACAACGCAAATTTAAAAAATCGAATATATCTGCTGATTTTTTTAATAAACACTACACTTTTACCACAGCAATATCAGCAAATATATAACAACACTTCTTGATGCACGCTTTTATAGAGCAACGAAAATTTCCATACTAGCCGCAACGATGTTAAAACGCTCACTAACTGACTAACGCATATGACATCGCGTCTCCAGACCCTTGTGAAACTGAGATGCTCCCGCATGACAAATGGAAATTTGGTCACAACTCATTTTGCCGATATGGCAAATAACCTCACTCGCATGAACAAAACAGATCGAGAATCTATAGCCAAATCACTGCTCAAAAAATAAAAACGTTACAAAAGAAATGCTAATTCACAATCTACTCATACATTAAACAAATAGAATAATCCATTATTTTGAGAAACAGAAGAATGGCATATAAGAAGTCAGCCACTGGATGAAATAATTCATTTAGTAAGGGCTAAGGATTAGATCACTCAGTATGCAATTTTGGTGCAACTATTTACAATCAAAAAATGCATTTCTTACGTATGAGAACATTAAAAATTCTCAAATTACTCTCCTGTAATTTTCCAATTTCATTTATTACTGTTATTTTACAAATTGCCAGTGACAATCGTCGATAGACGTGTTGGAAGCCCGCTTCACATTCAATTTGAAAGAACATTTATATTTGGAAATAGTAAAAATATACTTTCTCCGTTGCATTTCATCCCAAACTGGTCTGTTTCTAATCCCGAATTACATTCTGAACTTGAGAATTTTTCAACTTTTAACCGATGGTTCGCAGTTTAAAACCTTAAATAGTCATAGTGTAATGTGTGCTAAAGCACATTAAAAGAATGATCCAATCCCAGCATTTCTCGCCACGGTCGACTGCGGAAAGCTTCCAAATAATCCCAAGCCCCGGGTTGTGCAATTTCAATTACAGGAAGGCGAGCGAAGTGCTTTGTATTATTTCTTATTGCTTTGATTTTTTTTTATCTTGTGCATTCACTATCGAAGTGATTCATTTGGGTTAGTATAGTTAAGTTTGTGAATATATTTTATAAAGTATTCTCAAAAAATTGGAAAGTGATGATTTTTCATTGAACATTGGTGCAGACAAGTGAATCTGTGTATATGTACGCGAGTGGTAAAATCACATCCAACTTAGATGAGAATTCGGCGGGCACAAGCGGTGCCCCCCTA